AAGAGCAGAAAGTTTTCAGTGACAACCAAGGTAGGAGTGGGGAGGATATCAAGATCATTAGAAAGAGCTTTGCAGCTGAGATGAAAGCTAGGCATCTAACCCCCAGGTCCTACCACCTTTAAAGGACTCAGGATCCAGCCTCTGGCCCCTGAGCTCCTGACAACCCAGACGTCCAGCCTCCTCAGAGACCCAGAATTCATTTCTCCAACTGGTTCGATGTTTGAGTAAGAGATATCATGTAAGTACATGAGTTTTTCTGCCTCTGACACCTGAGTCACCACCAACCACTACCACCACCACCACCAGATCAAAATATATACTCCCAAGTATACATATATGAATTAAGGCAGTATCACCAAGTATACCCCTATCCACCACCAAACATTGTAGTGGAGACAAGGGGGATGAGTCAATAAACTCTGAGTAGCACTGGTGGTATTCTCCAGTCCCATGGTAGAGCCATACAGAGCCTATGACCAAAATCCACTCCACAGCATGAAAGTCATTCCTCAAGAATGGCAAGATTAAAAGTGATAGGGGAAAAGTTCCTTGGCTCCACACCTCCTCCCAAAATACATGTTTGTCCCCATCTTTCCATCATACCCCAAAGTCATAAGATTGTAGACCTGGAAAGGACTTCAGAGGTCCCCTAGTCTAACCTCTTGCTATTTATGGCCAAAGACCTATGGTGCATCTCACCTACTCAGTGCTGATGGAGCCACATTGATTGGCGATATGGACATGATCCTAGAAAGATGGGCTGAACACTTCCATAGTGTTCTCAACAGACCATCATCAATCGATGCTGAAGCCATTGACCATTTATCACAGGTTGAAGTCAATCCCTCCCTAGCTGAAGTTCCAACTGAAGAAGAGGTTTTGAATGCCATTCAGCTCCTTTCATGTGGCAAAGCACCTGGTGCTGATTCTATTCCAGCTGAGATTTACAAGGTAGGGGGTCCATTGCTCATACAAAAGCTGACTCAAATTTTCCAGGTTATATGGCAAGAGGAGGTTATCCCCCAGGAATTCAAGGATGCCTCCACTGTCCATCTCTATAAGGGTAAAAGAAATAGATTGTCCTGTGACAATCAGGGTGGGGGGTCCTCTCTCTTAGTTGTTGCTGGCAAGATTTCTTGCCAGAGTCCTCCTTAATAGGCTGATCCTTAACCTGGAAGATGGTCATCTACCTGAGAGCCAGTGTGGCTTCAGAAGGGGCCAAGGAACAGTTGATATGGTGTTTGCTGCCCAGTAACTCTGGGAGAAATGCCAAGAGCAGAACAGAGGTCTGTACACATTTGTAGATCTAACCAAGATACTGTCAGTTATGAGGGCTTATGGAAAATTATGTCAAAATTTGGTTGCCCAGAGAAGTTCATCAGCATTGTATGTCAATTTCATGACACCATGCTTGCCTGGGTTTTGGGTAATGTTCAATACTCTCACGCTTTCCCAGTCACCAATGGAGTGAAATAAGGCTGTGTGCTTGCTTCCATACTTTTTAGTGCAATGTTTTCAGCCATGTTGTCAAATGCTTTCAATGAAGACGAACATGGCATCAAGGTCAGCTACCACACTGATGGTAAATTCTTCAACTTGAAAAGATTAAAAGCCAAGACCAAAGTGGAAGAAGTGTTGGTACAAGATTTTATGTTTGCAGATGATTGTGCACTGAGCTCAATGCAGCCTCTGAAGCTGAGATGCAACAAAGTATGGATCAATTCTCTGCTGCTTGTGCTAATTTTGGCCTAACAATTAACACCAAAAAACACAAGTGCTCCATCAGCCCACCACCACACCATGCATATATGGAACCGTCAGTTACAGCAAACGGAGAAGTTCTGAATGCTGTGGGTAAGTTCACTTGTGTTGGTGTGTACTTTCCAAGGATGTATGTGTTGATAAGGAGGTCATTATCTCTGGCACACATTGCCAGAGATAATTCAGTGTTTGGGATGCTCAGAAGGAAAGTGTGGGAGAGAAGAGGTATTAGACTGCCTACCAGACTGAAGGTCTACAGAGCCATTGTGCTGGCCTCATTGTTGTATGCCTGTGAAATCTGAAAAATATATCAGTGCCACGCCAGGAAAGTGAATCACTTCCATTTGAAGGAAGTGGTTCTGAAGGAAGATTCTGAAGATTTCCTGGCAGGATAAGATACCAGACACTAAGGTCCTTTCTTGAACTAAACTGCCAAGCATTCAAACTCTGCTTTAGACAGCACAAGTATGATGGACTGGCCACATTGTTTGAATGCAAAACATATGCTTTCCAAAAAGACTGTTTTATGGAGAACTCACACAGGGAAAGTGCTCACGTGGTGGTCAGAAGAAGCGATACAAGGACACTCTCAAGGTCTCTCTTAGGAACTTTGGAATTGATTGTGTGACATGGGAGACATTGGCACAGGACCACTCAGCATGGTGTGCCCACATCAGAGAAGGTGCTGTGCTCTGTGAGCAAAGCAGAATTGAAATGGCTCAAGAGAAACACAAGATGCCCAAACTTCAAGAATCCACCCAAATGTTCACATGGACTATTTGTGCCTGACTTGTGGTAGAGCATTCCAAGCTTGTATGGTCTGATCAGCCACAGTCAGACACACTGAAACCTGATTCTAGCATAGTGATGTCATTTTGGCCCTCTTCGAAAATGAAGGACAACAACCAGTCCAACTTCTTAATTTTAGAGGAAGAATCTGAGAGCAAAGCTGTGAAGTGGGGGCAGCTAGGTGGTGCAGTGGATAGAGCACCAGCCCTGGATTCAGGAGGACCTGAGTTCAAATCTGGCCTCAGACACAACACTTTCTAGCTGTGTGACCCTGGGCAAGTCACTTAAACCCATTGCCTAGCCAAAAAAAATAATCTGTGAAGTGACTTTTGCCAAAGATCATTCAAGTAGAATATGGGAGAGTTTACATTTTGAACCTCTGACTTCAGACCCAGTGTTCTTCCCGCTGTATCATGCTGCTTCTATTTTCATTCTCTCTATTTTCCAGGACCTTATCTTTTTGCTTGACTTTCCCTATTCTGTCCTTAATCCATATGTCCTGGATCCTTCTGTCCCTGGTCTTGATAGACTCAGCCCTTTTATCTTATGGGACTCTTATCTGTTTCCCACTGACTCAGTCCTGCCCAGGGTCCCAGGGACCTGGGTCCCTCTGCCTTCAGTCCATATTCTAGGACTCTATCCTTATGCACCCCACCTCTACCAGCCGCCCTGTCCATGGTTTCTCTCTTTCTTACCCTGTTTATGTACGATGTCTGTCCTCCCATGCTGGGGTGTTCAACAGTTTAGATCAGAGAAATGGGGTAGGGGAAGTTTGAGGGGTTGATGATGCCTGGGTCTTTATTGGTCTTATTGGTCATGAAAGGAGAAGCCAGGCAAGGGGGTGAAACCAAACCTTCAGGGTCAGGAGATTATACCCAGTCCCAGATGTCCATCCTCCCTTTCCATCCTCTCTCCCCCTCAACTTCAGTACCAGGGACAGCAATAGAGTGAGGAGGGAAGTGTGTGAAAGTGTGTAAGTTCTGTGTATAGAACTTTGAAGCGTATGGAAACTGGTTTCTAGTTTTCGTGCACAACTATGAATATATACATAGGTGCACATATAGAGTGTGTGTGTGTGTGTCTGTGTGTGTGTGTGTGTGTCTGTGTGTGTGTGTGTGTGTGTACATCTTTATTGGCAACATAGAATGTGCCTCTTACTGTACCCTCCCTCTCTCATCTCTTTGCCCCTCAGTCATCTGTATGGGTGACAGCAGAGAGACCAAACCAGGGAAAATATGACTGTTAGCCAGAGGCATGGAAGATCCAACCAAGGCATAGACCTTGATCCAGGGCACAGACCTTTACCCAACACACAGATCTTTCGGTCCCCAAATCTCTCAGTGGTTCTAAGAGAACCCATTTCCCAAAGGGAAATGGGGGGAAAAGACAGAGAAATTCTAACCAAGAGGAGAGGTGAGCAGGGCCCTAACTACTTAAGTACTGAAGATGCTAGAGGAGGTCAGGCTGAGCCCTGTGGGCATTCCAAGGAGAGGAGAGAACGTTTGTTGAGACTAGGGAGAGACTAATAATGCTGAGACCATTCAAAACTCGGACACTGGGGCTGCTTAACATTGGGACCTTTGGACACCATGCCTGGGAGGTTCCCTGGGACCCTGGGGAACTTCCTGTGGTTAGGAGGTTTCAGTGTCAGGAGGGGAGGGAGGAGTCAGGGACCAATCTAAGGAGCTCAAAGTGGTAGGGCAGAGTAGTATAGCAGAAGTAAGGGAGCTGAGGGAGAGAAGAGAAACCATCATAGTCAAGATTAAACTGTCACATGGGCTGACGAGCTGGGGCTGGAACTGGTCCCATCAGAAATTCTTCCTTTCCTTCATCATCTGTTCCATCCTATACTCCTCCACAAGGTTTGGATGTCCAGCCCTCAGCTTTCCTGTGCACAGGACCCAGGAGTCCAGCCCCAAGCCTGGTACCTTAAAGTTGACTAATTTATACATGAACTGTCCAGCTGGACAGTAAGTAAAGTGAACACAGAGAAGCAGAAAAACCACTTTGGTGGTTCAAGTTCCCTGGTGGGTGGGGGCCAAAGGGAGCAGAAGTCTTCCAGATAACCCTAAGCTGGGCTCAACCTCCATATATTCCTCTTCACGAGTTCATAGACAGCTGCCCATCCCCACCCTCTCTGGGATCCATCACCCCAACTAGAGAATTCTCTCTGTGGAATTGGGGGGGGCAGGAAATGAGGATTCCTGGAGTGCTGCCAGACAAACTTCTACCTGCCAAGGTCCTCTCCCAAAGACCTAGGTATCCAGGCTCAGGCTCTACCTCTCAGTCCCTTCAAGATCCCAGCATGTCAGTTGCTCCTCATTAGCAGTACCTGAAAGTCTGGGACCTCCCTGGTTGGAGCCAATGAAGAAGCATATTGGTATAGAGTAAGAGGGCTGGGCAGAAATTTGGGCAGGCCCTATCCTGCCCCTCGGCAATCACTCAGCACACTCTGACCACATGCCATGTTTATTTAACCTCTAGCTTTGACTCCTGGGAGCAGGCCACACTCAGGAAGGATTTGGTGGGAAGAAGGCAAAGGAAGGCTCTGTCTCGGCTCATCATTGGCCCCCAAACTTGCAGCAGCGGGCACTAGTCCAGTCCATTCCAGCACATTGACAGTGACACGTGGTGGGTTCACGAACATCCCAGGAGCCACAGGCTGAGCCACATGAACAGCTTGTGACGATGGACCCTGAGGAGAAGAGAGCCTGAGGCTTGGACCCTGGGGTCCTGGGTGGAGAAGGAAGGGAAAGAGAGCCTGGGGTTTGGACTCTGAGGTCCTGGGTGGAGAAGGAAGGGAAAGAGAGCCTGGGGTTTGGACTCTGGGGTCCTGGGTGGAGAAGGAAGGGAAAGAGAGCCTGGGGTTTGGACTCTGGGGTCCTGGGTGGAGAAGGAAGGGAAAGAGAGCCTGGGGTTTGGACTCTGGAGCCCTGGTTGGGGCTCCTGAGGCTTTGACACCAGGGTCCTGGAGGAGTAGGAGGCTGGGGGCTGGACACTAGGGTCCTATGGGTAGGGAACATCAGAGGCCTGGGGGAGGGGAAGTTGGGGCTAGAACACTAGGTTCCAGACTGACCTGAGGGGCAGGTGGCTAGAGCACCCCGAGAGGTAACACTGAAGCAGCTCACTTGAAGCTTTTGAACGGCAGCCAGAACTAAACCATTACAGAGAAGAGAAAGGCTGTAAGATTCCTGTCCAGCCTTCTCCTGGACCAGGATGCTTCCCCTTTGGTGCCAGCCAGGTTGCTGCCAGACCTTCCCATGTCTCTATTGCTGGGTTCCCTCCTGTTCCCATTGGAAGCTACTCTAATGGGCTCTGCGACCAGTAATCAGAGGAAGATTGGGCAGGTGGATCCTGACGGGTCAGGCCAAGTGTTAGGGTCTAGTTCAGGAATTGGATTTGGGGCAAGAGGCAAGGTTGGAGTCTAGCAATGTCCAGGGGCTGTGGTACCATAGGAGCTAGCCTGCTCCTCGATCTTCTTGTTTAAGAGCTCATCTAGGGAACAGTGAGCCTGCCCCAGGACCAGGTGCCCAGGAAGGATGAGGAAGATGATGAAGAGGAAGGTGGAGGCAGTCTTCATCCCACTGGCCCCTAGGAAGAAAGGAAATTCAGAATCAGCTATCCCAATGAAAACAAGCTTACTCGACCACTGAGCAAAGCCCTCACTGGATGTGGGACAGGGACTGGAACATCTGGGTTCTTTCTAAGAAAGTCAATATAACAGTTTCCAGAGATGGGGGCCATTGGAGCTTTGGGGCGGGAAGTGAAGAGAGGGAGGGGAGGAGACATTTCTCACCTTTGAGCAGAGTTGAGAAGAAGGTGCTGATAAGAATCTGCCAGACTCTGGGATGACAGCACCTCTTGGTCCCCAATGTAGCCTTCCTCTTCTCTTCCCAATCCCCAGCCCCTCCCCACCTTTCTCCATCTCCCAGAAGAAGAAGTGCTGATTGTGGTTTCCGGTCTTGGGCAAGTGAGGCTTCCAATTTTGGCTCCAGGACCTTGGTTTCCCAATACCCCAGGCCCCAAGGCTAGGGGGAGGGCAGAGCAGAGGCTAGATCATGGAGTGTCTCTCTGGGGAACAGAGCGCTTTGGGAGCCCAGGAGATCACCCAATGCCCTAAGATTTCTCTTCCCCAAATGACACTGCCTGAAATCCTACCATTAATGAATCCTCTGGGCAAATAAGCCATCCTGTCACAGAAACACACTTTTTCCCTTTCTTCCCATTGTGAGAGGGCTGAAGATTGGTCAATTGTTTTTTCCCTTCAATTAACGTGGGCAATCTCTGCTATTGTCTGGTAGAAAGCACCTGCTGCATGGATGGAGGCTGAGACAGGACTGGGAAGGGACGGGATGGGGAATAAAGGGGTAGGGGAGTTTGGTAGCAATCAGAGGCCTGACAGCCTGAGGCAGGGAAGTGAGTTTGACCTGCCCTACCTTTGAGATGAACTGACTCCACAAAGTCTTCTGACACCAGCACCCCAGCCACCTGCCCACCGACTCACATACCACTGTGACAGCATAGGTTGACGTTCACATCTGCCCTCTACACACTATTTCGCTCCAATCAGTAATCAAGAGGCAGCTTTGCAAACTTGAAAGTGCTACATAAATGACAGCTATTATTATCATTATTATTATTATTATTATTATTATTATTATTTTCCCAGGTAGGTGCTAGAGTCGATAGAGCACTGGGCCTGGAGTCACTAAGACCTCAGTTCAAATCCAGCCTTAGATACTAGCTGTTTGACCCCGGGCAAGTCACTTCACCTTGTTTGCCTCAGTTTCCTCATCTGTAAAATGAGCTGGAGAAGAAAATGGCAAACCACTCCAATATCTTTGCCAAGAAAATCCCATGGACAGCATTGGCGTGCAAGAGTCCACCGGGTCACGAAGAGTCAGACACAACTAAACGATAATCAATCAAATAAATGATTACTATGAGCCAGGCACTGTGCTCCAGGTGTAGGATCACAGACTAGAGCTGGAAGAGGCCATCTGCTCCAACCCCCTTATTTTACAGAAGAAGAAGCTGAGACGGGGGCAGCTAGGGAGAGCAGTGGATAGAGCTCTGGCCCTGGAGTCAAGAGGACCTGAGTTCAAATCCGGCCTCAGGCACTTAACGATCACTAGCTGTGTGACTCTGGCCAAGTCACTTAAACCCAATTGCCTAAAAAAAAAAAAACCCAGATACTAAGAGGCTTGCCCTTGGTAACAAGTATCAGAGGCAGGATTTGAACCCAGCTCCTCTTGACTCCAAAGTCAACACTCTTTCCACAGACCCACCCTGCCTTCAAGAAGCTTATATTCAATAGGTAGGGGTGGAAATTGGGGCCCCCCAACAAGTTCCCAGATCAGTAAAGGGCAAACACAGGGATAGAGACTGAACCTGTGGTTTCATTGACATTGGGTCCTCCCAGATGAGGCAATTTCCTCCACCAAAGCATGTCAGCACTTTCCTTGCAATTTAGAATCTTGAGCAATTCTCAGATATGTTGTCCTCAGGATTCCTTACATGCTGAAAAATTATTGAACAACAATTACCCTAACAAGAGCTTTTGTTAATGTGGCTGAGATCTAGCAATATTACAGTATTAGAAATTTAAATGTCAGTATTATTAGTGTGACCAAGAAGGAAAATAAGAGCTAGAAGGATCTCAGGTCAGGCCATTTGTTATTCACAGGCACAAAAGTATGTGCTCCCTCGATCTACAGCCCCACCAGGAAACAACAGTGCCCAGTGGCTTGGTTTTGCCATGGAATGTGTACCCCAGTTGAGAGTTCTGATCCCCGGAATTTCTGCCCTTATATCTGATTGTTTTGCTGAGCAGATTCACAGAGACTAGGTGGGAGGGAAATCTTTTCCTGTGTTCTGTTCAGTTGTTTCAGTCATGTCCTACTCTTTTTGTGACCCCATTTAGGATTTTTCAGAGGTAAGGAACCTGCAGCCTCATGGTCACACGTAGCCCTCTAGGTCCTCAAGTGCGGCCCTCTTACTGAATCCAAACTTCACAGAACAAATCCCTATACAAATAATAGGATTTGTTCTATAAAACTTGGACTCGGTCAAAAGGCCACACCTGAGGACCTAGAAGGCCACATGTGGCCTCAAGGCTTCAGGTTCCCCACCCCTGGCAAAGATCCTGGAGTGGTTTGCCATTTCCTTCTCCAGTTCATTTTACAGATGAGGAAACTGAGGAAAACAGGGTTAAGTGACATGCCCAGGGTCACACAGCTCGCAAGATTTGAATTTGAATTCGATTTGAATTTAGGAAGATGAGTCTTACCGACTCCAAGCCTGGCACTCTATGCATTATGGTGACTCCAGGGAACTCTTAGGGGCAATCAGTGGGTAGTCTAGACTGCCACTTCCCCCGCCAGGACACTGTGATAGGTAAAGTTTGTTACTCTTATATATCCGGATTAAATGAAGCTTGCTAGCCTTGCATCCCCAACCGTAAATGTAGCTATCAGAGTCAGTTGGGTACATAAAAACTTCCCCGTACATTCAGAGGTCAATCAGTAAACAAATATGGGATCACTTCTGTCTGCTAGGGCCTACCACTAGGCCATTTCTCAAAATTATGAAAATAGTTTTGACCTCTCGGACCCCCTGAAAGGATCTAGGGAACCCTTGGGGATCCTCATACCATGCTTGGAGAACCACCATCTTAGAGAGTTGCCTACAGTTCTGAGAGGTCAATGATACACCTGAGGTCACACAGCCAGTTTATAGCGGAAGAGAGACTTGAACCCAGATCTTCTAGGCTTCAAGCCTTGTTCTCTATCTAATACTATACTGTCTCTCAAATAAAGGACTTACACAAATAAGGGATATGTACAAACTAGAAATATAAGTAAGACATATAGATAGAGTAGGTCAGGTCAAGAAGACCCGAGTTCAATTTTGACCTCAGACATGCACTAACTGCAGCATCCTAGAGAATCAGTTTAGTTTTCTGGGCCTCAGTTTCTCCCTATGTAAAATGTAGACGTTAGACTAGACAACCACTAATATCCCTTCAAATACTCAATCTACGGTCCTATGATTTGAAGCTTTGTGATGGTCACTCTCCCTCTCGTCTCTCCCCAGTCTAGTCCATCTTGTACTCAGCTGTCGGAAGAGATCTCCTAAAACACTGGTAGGTCTGACCAAGTCTCCTTTTCCCTTCCATTCCTCCCAGTCCCCTGCACTACCCGAATCTCCATTCAAATGAACTCCGGTAGCTCCCTGTTACCTTCAGGATCAAATAAAAAATTCTCTGTTTGGGCATTTAAAGCCCTTTATAACTCGGCCTCTTCCTGCCTTTCCAGTCTCCTCACACCTTACTTCCTTCTATGTACTCTGAGCTCCAGTAAGCCTGGCCCTCCTCATGATTTCTTGCATAAGACTTCCTCTCCTTCTCCTGGCTCTGCATTTTGACTGACTGGCTGTCTCTCTGCCTAGAATTTTCTTTCTCACCTCAGCCTTCTGGTTTCCTTGGCTTCTTTCAAGATTTTGCTAATATCTTTCCTCTGAGATTATCTCCAAACTCCATTGTATATACAGTTATCCCTTCCAAATCCCAGGTGTTAAGGGTATGGCATCCTCACAACCTAGAAAATCTGTGTAAAATGTTTTGGCCCTCCATTTGCAGAAGAAGTCTGAATTTTTTTCTTTTTCTTTTATGGAGTATTTTCAATACCATATTGTAAAATTTGGGCTCAGGGGCAGCTAGATGGCACAGTGGATAGAGCTCTGGCCTTGGAGTCAGCGGGACCTGAGTTCAAATCTGACCTCTCAGACACCTGACACTTACTAGCTGTGTGACCCTGGGCAAGTCACTTAACCCCATTGCCTAGCCAAAAAAAAAAAAAACTTGGGTTCATACTATACAGTACTATACATATATTTTATATGTTTCTAAACTCTCTGTGCCATCTGCTGGCCTTCTCATGTTGTCTGCAACTTCCACAAAACTCCAAAAAAAATTCCCATTTAATATCTTATGCCAAACCTCGATATATTGAAATCATGATGGGGAAAGTCATGATGCTGAAGGGATAACTGTAGATTGTACACGGTTGGTGGCATGTTGTCTCTCCCATTAGACTGTAAGCCCCTTGAGGGCAGGGATTGTCTTTTTCCTTTCTTTGTATCCTCGGGGGTTATTACAGTGCCTAGAACATGGTAAGTCCTTAATAAATGCTTTTTAATTGAATGATTGATTGGTTGGGACATACAAACTCCTGAGGAAAGCAGGAAAGGCCCCTTTAAGAGGGTGACACCTCAGCTGAGCCTTAGAGGATGCTAAGGGTTCCAAGATTTGGAGGCAAGGAGGGAAAGAATTCCAGGCAGGGGGCACAGTGTGTGCAAAGAGATGGAGTCAGGAGATGGAATGTCATGAACGGGCAACAGCCAATGGGACAGTTCAGTTGGAGTAGAGGGTGCACAAGGAGGAGTAATGTGTGACCCTCCTGGAAGAGAAGCTGGAGAGCTTTAAATACCAAACACAGGAGACTGTGCTTTATTCTGAAGGTGGTGGGGCAGCGCTGACGCTTCTAGGGCAGGGAGTGACGGGGTCAGACCTGGGCTTTAAGAATCTCACT